ACAATATTATTGTTAAGATTATAGGCCTGTATTTCAACTTATAATAAAACAACACACAATATTACTGTTAGCATTATAGGCCTGTATCTCAACTTATAATAAAACAACACACAATATTACTGTTAAGATTATAGGCCTGTATTTCAACTTATGATAAAACAACACACAATATTACTGTTAAGATTATAGGTCTGTATTTCAACTTATGATAAAACAACACACAATATTACTGTTAAGATTATAGGCCTGTCAATAAAAATAAGGATTTAACGGGGTGGTTCTTACACTGAATAATGAACGCAGCCAACATTGCAGCATCAGCTTGACAACAGTAGAGTCTACCATGGAGGAGGTCCCGGCGAAGTTGGAGAAAGATCTGATACCTGCAAACAATGGGTAATGTCAACATCTGATGGTCTAGTACCAGTTAGAAGTTGATATTGTGTAAGTTGAAAACATGTCAACGTCTGATGGTCTAGTACCAGTTAGAAGTTGATATTGTGAAGTTGAAAACATTTCAACATCTGATGGTCTAGTACCAGTTAGAAGTTGATATTGTGAAGTTGAAAACATGTCAACGTCTGATGGTCTAGTACCAGTTAGAAGTTGATATTGTGAAGTTAAAAACATGTCAACGTCTGATGGTCTAGTGCCAGTTAGAAGTTGATATTGTGTAAGTTGAAAACATGTCAACATCTGATGGTCTAGTACCAGTTAGAAGTTGATATTGTGTAAGTTGAAAACATGTCAACATCTGATGGTCTAGTACTAGCTACAAGTTGATATTGTGTAAGTTGAAAACATGTCAACATCTGATGGTGTAGTACTAGCTAGAAGTTGACATTGTGAAGTTGAAAACATGTCAACGTCTGACGGTCTAGTACTAAACAGAAGTTGATATTGTGAAGTTGAAAACATGTCAACATCTGATGGTCTAGTACCAGTTAGAAGTTGATATTGTGTAAGTTGAAAACATGTCAACATCTGATGGTGTAGTACCAGTTAGAAGTTGATATTGTGTAAGTTGAAAACATGTCAACGTCTGATGGTCTAGTACCAGTTAGAAGTTGACACTGTGTAAGTTGAAAACATGTCAACATCTGATGGTCTAGTACTAACTAGAAGTTGACATTGTGAAGTTGAAAACATGTCAACGTCTGATCATCTAGTCCTAGCAAGGTGTTAGTTTACATAACTCATTAGGATAGACACTGGTTATGTTTTATAAATTAAGATTCTTGAAATTTTGTTTTAAAAGAGGTGTTCAAGAATGTTCACTATACAGAATATTTTCTCTTATAATTGTAACAAACATAAATCACTGATCCAGAATCATACTTTTGTGATTAACTGTTTTGTTCATGAGAAAGTGATAAAAAACTATCATTACTTACCGTGTTATCTCTTCTTTCATTCGATGAGGTTCTGGGGAATAAAACTTGACTCGAAAGCAAAAAATAATTGGTTGTAAACCTACAAGTTAAATTACGAGTATTACATAAACAATTTTGAATTTCTGGTATTACTAAAAACTTACACCTGTTTTAAAAGACAAAAAATAAAACAAAGTAGAAATAGTAAATATAAATTACAATTACTCTATAAAATTTGAAATATTATTGTAATATTATTAATAAAAAAAGTTTTTCTAAAAAGTTCAACAGCAAAATGCTGAATTTTGTTACAGTTCTTAGGACAAACAAATAAGAATATATATCAAACTTATTTATAAAAACCTTTGTAAACTTTCAATTTACATTTTATGTCACGTTAAATCATGAAGAACACTGAAACATTTGAGATATTTTACAGATGTAAACACATTACAGATGTAAACACATTACAGATGTAAACATATTACAGATGTAAACATATTACAGATGTGAACATAATACAGATATAAACACAT